AAACAGTTTTTGATATTCAGTTGATGTTTCTGACATTGACTTCAAATCTTTTCTATATATTTTGGTAAAAGGGTGTACTTTTAGTTGTCTAATAGAAGGTGGGTGTTTATTTATTTTTTTTGAGGAAATTTTCTAGAGCTTATTAAGATTATTTGGTTTATTAATTTTGCACTTTTTGCCCTATTATACGATTTTACAACCCCCCCCATTTTATTTAGATCCCTTGTTTATTGATTGAGAACAATTCTGACTACATCCTCTATGAAGACTCCCCTTACCCCGTTCATTGCTTATTGAGAAAAATTTAGATCCCTTGTTTATTGATGGAGAACAATTCTGACTACATCCTCTATGAAGACTCCGTTCATTGCTTATTGAGAAAAATTTAGATCCCTTGTTTATTGATTGAGAACAATTCTGACTACATCCTCTATGAAGACTCCCCTTACCCTGTTCATTGCTTATTGAGAAAAATTTAGATCCCTTGTTTTTTGATTGAGAACAATTCTGACTACATCCTCTATGAAGACTTCCCTTAGCCCGTTCATTGCTTATTGAGAAAAATTTAGATCCCTTGTTTATTGATTGAGAAAAATTCTGATCCCCACCTTATGAAGACTCCCCTATTTATGCGCCTACTGAGAAAAATTCTGACCCCTCTTTATGACTTCCTAAAAATTCTGACTACTTCTTTTATTAAAAACCTTATTTACTGCATATTGAGAAAATTCTGACCCCTAATTATTAAGACCCTTCATTGTATTAGGTATCTAAGAGTAAGATATAATTAACAAATAAGCCAGTTAGGATTTATTTTATTGATTTATTTATGACTAAATAATTTATGATTTATTTATGACTAAATCATTAAATAAACCAATCAGAATCCTCAATTCATAATTGACTAATCAAATTCCTGTAAAAATAAAGATGACAATTAAAACAGTTTTTATCAGCTCACCTTACACTACTGCAGATAATAATTAAGCTTATGTCATCCAAATTTATTTGATGGACCATTTTCCTTATTAATTTTGATTAGTTTTTATTTTTCCTATTGTTAGTATTGCTTTTATTCTTAATTTTGTTATCTCCTTCATATTACTTTTTATTCTAATGCTCAGGCCATTTTATATTCATCTCTTAAGTAATCTAATGTATTTTCTTGTGTATATGACTTGAGTATAATAGGACCCAGTGTTTTTGAAGCTAAAAACCAGGAATAAATTACATCCTTGAGTATAATATGATTCCACAGTACAGGCATTCCAACATAATATTTTCAAAAGTTGTACTATATTATCCATTAAAATCTCTATGTCACATATATATTTCAGTTCACTAAAATATTTAATTTTTCCTAATATTAAATAATAGAAACTTGATGTTTAGTTATTGTATGTTTCTTTTCCTAATTTCTGTTTCAAAACTTATTTTCAAATTTTGGGGGAAAGGTAATTTCTTGTAATATTAATGCTATTTCAGTCAGTTTCCTGTCTTTGAGACAAAAGACATTCAATTATGCTGATTCCCAAAGAACAAATATTGCTGACATATCAAATACCTTTTGTAAACAATTGTTATCAACACCTGCCTACTTTGTGTTTTGTTATCTATTGTGCTGAGTGTATTTACAATCTTGTTCTTTTCAAATAAGAGGTTTGTTAAGCTGTGTAAAAATTTCTGAAAACATGTACTTGTGTATAATACATGGCCCTTTTGGCCTTTAATTTTCGTTCAAAATTTCTCATATTATACACAAGAAAATTTGCAGATTAAGCCCCGGAAACTAATTGTAATGAAAATTTCCATTCTGGTGTGAAATTGCCTGATTAATTAATTATTAACAATAAAAGTTTGCAGAAGAAAATCGTTTAGGAGTTATCGACAATATCAGTTTGGCAGTATTTGCATCTAGCCTGGCTACCATTGCTGGCGTTGTTTACATATGTTTGCCATGAAACGTAATGCATGGAAAGTTACTTAGTTAAGTCTTTTTACTGCTCTTCTTATCTTCTTGATTACTGCGCAATTCGCAAAGTATAATTTAAAATTCACTCACAGTGCAATAATCAAGACAAGTGAAGATTCTACACATCAATACTCAAGGCAAACATCTGTAAACAAAGCCAGTAATGGCAGCTGGGCTGTAACTGTGATGCAAATGAGATCGAAATTATATTGTATATAACTTTTAAATGGTTTTCTTTCACAAACTTTTATTGTTATTTTCGAAATAAGCATGCAAATTTACACTAGAATAGAAATTTAACATTACAATTGGTTTCTGGGGCTTAATCTGCAAATTTAATCAGAATAAAATACATGAAGTAACATCTAGTAAAAATTGAATTGGGATCCCATATTCTTGAGATCTGGTCTGATAATAGTAATGAGGATCAAGTTCAAATAAAAACAAAAGCAAACTTTGCATGGTACACAATCACGCCCTGAATTCTTTCTTATTTATACACTTCTGGTTAAAATCTTAAGGCCAGATACAAACAGGTTAAAAAAAATATAAAATACTGTTACTCAATTTGAAATATATTTGCAAAAACTTTACATTTAATTAGAAAATTTAGCTTATCAACAAACAAGTGACAATTCTAAGCTTTTAATTGATTAATTTAAACAAACATTGAAAAAGTATTTTTTGGTAGGTGACAAAGATAAAACCATGTAAATAAAAATAGAAAATAGAGAACAAATAAGTCATAACAACAATTTAATATTCAGTATCTCCTTCATATCTGCAAATTACTTTGAAAATTCGCTTTGGTATACTCATTATTAACTTCTGTATGAGGGCGCTTGGGATCATTTCTTTAAAGTTTAAAAATCCTGCTCTGTTTGAACTTTGTTAAAATTTTACCCTTAGCCATTTTAAAACCTGAAATTTAATGCTGCAAATGATCTACACACTTGAAGCTATGAGCACACTGACTAGTTCTAAAATTTTTGTCCAGTACTTTTTTTTTCACACATGGTCTTATCTTTATGACCAACCAAAAAATACTTTTTCAATGTTTGTTTAAATTAATCAATTAAAACCTTAAAATTTTTATTTGTTTTTTGATAAACTACATGTTCTAATTAAATATAAATGATGCACAAATATATTTTGATTAAAGTAACAGTACTTTATATTTTTGTAACTCTTTTGTAGCTGGTTTTAAAATTTACCCAGGAGTGTATAAATAAGAAAACATTCAGTGACTGCTTGTGTGCCATGCAAAGGAATGTATTTTTATTTGATGTATCTAGGCAGTAAAGGTTTGTTTAGACAGGTTTTCTTAAGAAATGGCTTGTTAATTTTAATGCCTCCAAAACAAAACTGCTCTCTTTTAATTGTCTTAGAGAACCTTTTTCGACTTCCATTAGCATGGCTGATACTAACCACTAGGAGAGTGACTCATTGCACTTTCCCAGGCTAATGTTTTCTACTGACATGAGATGGAAAGATTATATTAAATCAATTGCTAGGTCTGCTGCTGGGAAAATTGGTTCACCAGAATCAATCTTACACATTTATAAGTCTACCATTTGTACATGCAATGAATATTGTTGCCACATCTAGCCTGGTGCTTCTGCTATGTATTTACAGAGTTTTGGTAAAATACAAAGAAGAATCTGCAATATTATTAGTCCTGATATGATATCCTCAGTCACTTTCCCACCAACATAACATAGCTTTTATGTACCTTTTCCATAAATATTTTCATGGTAATTGTCTTGATGAGCTTTGCTCTTTGGTGCCTTGACTTTATGAATTTAAGCATACTATTAGAGGAGGCATGGTGGAGTAATGGATAGCGACTTGAACTGAGGAATTGGAGAGCTGAGTTCAAATTCCAGTTGAATCCATTACATTCACTTACATGCTAATACCCTTAAGAAAGGTATGAATCCTCTTCTTCTCCCCCAGCTATGGGCAAATAGCAGGACAGACCAGGTTCTGTAGCCTTGGATGGCAACTGGTCTACTGCAGAAAGTAATTGCAACCTACTGTGGGAAAAAATCTGTGCTCGTCAGTCATGTATTGAAAGATACATGATCGCCTAATCATGTATCACGTATGGCATATAACTGACTGATTAGATTGGCAGCCAGGTTTCATCATTTCAGAATTGAATTAGCTACATGTAATCGTAAATTCTATGCTAACAGTTTCTTCTCTCGCACTTCTTGCTTGTGGAAATCTGTTCTGGCTTTTTGCTTTCCAGTCAAGTTTCATCTTCAAAAATTTAAAAGTAATATCAATCATTATCTTAATTCCTGTTCTTTTATTGTTCGTTCTTAATAATGTTTCTTTTATTTCATATTCTCTCACATTCAGTAACCTTTGCATTTTAATGGCTTTATTGCCTTGCTTGGGATGAAATTATTAAAATATATATATATATATATATATATATATATATATATATATGAAAATATATAGAAAATAGGAAGGAACAGAGCTTACTTTAACTCAATTTAATTCAAATAATTATATTGAATTTTTTGGCTCTTGTTTTGAAACATGAGACCTCTTATGTCGTGAGTTGGAATCATATTTTTAAATAAATAATTATATATATATATATATATATATATAGTGTATTGGGACAGCAGATCATTATTTGAACATATATTGTTAGATATAACAGACAATGAATGTCTATTATGTCTGATAATGACCTGTTCTAAAGTTCATATGTTTCCTTTAATTACAGGTGAAAATAAGACAAAAACTGTCCGAAATTGTCCATTATCTTCACATAGAAATCTTGTATGTCAACATAACAAAACATCATCTTTGATAGCGAATATCTTTGTTTAAATGTCCGTATAACCACTTAATACAAATTCTATTCAGATACTTAAAAGTAATCTATGCTAGTAAATACTAATAGGAACATATCACCATGGCAAATCCCCTTTTGGGAATTCCTCAGGAGCTTGGTAATAACACTAGCCCCCTCTCAAGGGTGTGGTATTACCTGAACAGACAGTGC